TTTTTTTTTTTTTCCCCTCCTTTTTAAAGAAGAACATCCGAGATTGGCCTGGAGAGGCCCTAAAGAATTTGCATTATCTTAAGATCTTACATTCTAAATACTGTACAGAATATCTTCCATGTACAGATTTCCACTATCCTCCAATAATGTCCCTTCAAAATCTGTATGCATTACTTGTGGCAAGAGGTCCTCGAGCACTTACTATCTCCCTTGACCACTATGAAATTGCTAATGGGTCCATTTTTGTCTTTATATCAATTTAAAAAGTGATTTACAGAATGGAAACTTGAACAATTTTAGAATTAAAATTTCCTCTTTACTTACAAAAATATACTTGAAAATACAGAATTTTACGAACTTTGTGAACCTTAGATTGTGCTTGTCCAGAAGTTGTAGTTACTAAATGATGCAGAAACAGCTTTTTGTAATGAGTGGTGAGATCTACTCTGGTTCCTGCAGATCTGCAACAAGTAGTTTAGGTAGTTAAAGTTAGACAAGACTTCCACCGTTCACCTCTTATCAGGGAGCCAGGTGTTGGCTTCGTAGCAGGATGGGACATCCATCTGCTGCTATAGTGGGCTCTTTGGTAGATGTGACTTAGACTGTGGAGAGCTTCTACCTTTAGAGATGAGAGTTCTCTAGGATTTGTTTTGTTTGTTATATTTTTACACTTCAAGCCTCTCAAACAGGTTGGTGGGTTTTGTTGGAGAACATCTGGTGTTGGGAAGTCACCTGGATCACCTGGGCAAAAGGTCTGCCAGAGACTTGTCTTTGTAAGAATGTAATTTATGCTTGTTTCTTATTCTGGATTAAGGTATTTGAGAAAGGAGGGCATTTTTTGAAACCGTTTTCAGCATTAAATGATACTTAGTAAAAAGTTACAATACAAAATGCCTTTTTATTTAACATTCTTATTTGCTTAACAGGGATGTAGAACATCAGTCTGGAAGGGAACTTGGCCATGCCAAGAAGGCTGCAAGGAGCAATACAGATGAAATGGAGTCCAGGGTTCGGGACACAGGCAATGACAGTGCTAGCACTGCCCCCAGGAGCACGGAGGAGTCCCTCTCGGAAGACGTGTTCACGGAGTCGGAGCTCTCTCCAATACGGGAGGAACTGGTCTCCTCGGACGAGCTTCGGCAAGATAAATCTTCTGGGGCATCATCAGAATCTGTCCAAACAATAAACCAGACTAGTGCAGAATGTTTAACCATTGTTTCAGACTCAAGTGAAGCTCCTGGCGACGTAAAATCCAGCGCTGAACTGACTGTAAATGTTAAACAGTTTAGTACTCCCAGTCTCTGTTCAGAAACTGCTAAAATGTCTCTAAGAGAAGAACAAGAATCTGGTGAAACTGTTGCAGTTCAACAGTCTTTGCAAGAATCCCATCATGGTGAAGAGCAGGGTGCTCAGGCAGAAGACCAAGATTCCACAGTAGGCAATGACCCAAAGGGGGAGAGGAAGGCAGGAGAGGAATGTTCCCCTTGCAAAGGTACCACAGACTCTGAAAAGGAGACAACTGGCAGAGGAAAAACGATGCAAGAGCCAACTCAAGACTCGGAAATAGAAGTCGAAGAACTTCGGAAACTCTGGAAGACCCACACTATGCAACAAGCCAGGCAACAGAGGGAGCATTTGCAGCACGATTCACGGAAGGAGGCAAGTCAGAAGAGCATGGCTGTGGGAGACGGGCAGGTAGAAGGTAAGGGATTCGGTGTTTATAGGCACAAATTTGCAATATTTGCATCGGGTTCCTCGTAATTTTCCCTTCCTTAGCTTTTACTCACTATATCGTTCTGTAGATTACATGTTTGCTTGCATTTGTCCTTGGCTTCAGCAATAATAAGCTATGCTTTTTAATAATTTTGTATATCATTCTGTAGATTACATGTTTGCTTGTATTTGTCCTTCGCTTCAGCGATAATAAGCTATGCTTTTTAATAATTTTGAAAATTGTTAAGAAATTGAAAACATAGATACTTCTATTTCTGACTTTTTTTCCTTATTGAAATGGCATTTGTCATTTTAATTCAATATCGTTTTTAATGAAGTTTTAAATAAACCAGACTCATGAGGCATTGGTCACTGCAGAGCTCTATTAAAATTACTCCTTGGCAGTCTGCTAAGTGGTGTAAATCTTGATTCCAATGTATGTGTATATGAATGTATATCACTGGATGAGTTAGCATCTTGGAATATGAGTACTTTGACACTTACTCAAGGCTTAACATGAAACTGTTTGAGACTTAAATAGTTTTTTTGGAATTTGTTTTACTTCCATCTTGACATTCTTGCTGACTAGAACAAGGTGAAATGTATGTAAAGCATTTCTAAGTATAAATAAGAGCCAGATAAAAAGATGTTAATAATAAGCAATGAATGTGGGAAACATGTAGACTTTTATTTCCTTGAGTACTGTTATTGCTCTGTAAGAGTCAGGCCCAAGTAGTATTATCTGGTAAATGTCTTGAAAAATCTATTGAAGTTACTAAATACATCTAAAACTCTTGTCTCTTAAGCAAGCTAAGATGATGCTCCTGAGTGTATCTTATTTTGCCTTTTAAAAAAATCCCTAGGCTGCTTTCAAATGTCTTTTAATCTCATTATTGGAGGTGAACTAATCATTTTAGTTGTACAGTGTTTGTGGACTGTAAAGAAGTCATAACAATATCAGTTGCAAATGGAGTTATTTGAAGTGTATCTGCAAGATCAAGTCAACTTCTGTTCATAACTAAAAGCTGAGGTGCTATTGCATGAAAGTGTATATTTTCGATTGGCAGAATAATCTTCCAGTTTCTTCCTTTGCAGTTGAAGAAACTGAATTTTGAAATTAAGTCACTCATCCTTGCATCATTCTGTGATGATTTGGCTTTTGCACCATAAACCACCAGAGGAAATCCTCTGCTAAAAACAGCAGCCCTCAGTAGTTGCTGAGGCTGGGACCTCTACTAGTACCAGCACTGCTGCTGTGTTTGCTAACCAATACTGAGGTCAAACGCCTTGGGGGTGGGAAGGACTGTTACTTTTTCTCCAAAAAGCAGGTTGGGTGATGTGAAGCAACCTCAATAGTAGTAGTTGAGGTAGTCCAGAATGGCTGAAGAGGCCACCTTCAATTCTTGTCTCCTGCTGTCAATCCAGCACCCTCTGGGCCCTCTGATTCTTTTCAGCTTTTACGTAATCTTAGGTTAACCAAAAACATTGAAGCCACAGCTAGATGTAGTTGGAACTTGTGAAGAGTTGTGGTGGTGTGCTGCTATATATGTGTGTGCTATACTCAAGTGAGATTTTGTCTTTTATGTATTTTACATATAAGAATAACATCAGACTCCTTTGCTACTCAGCTGGGTGGGTGTTAGTGCAAATTAAAAATGTATCAGAGAAACAATAACCACTAAGTTTCTTTTCCTGTAGAATTCTATATCAAATATACGAAAACCAGTAGACACAAAATATTGAGGAACTTAAGTACTCCACTTGAGGCCACAAGTTGCTTGTTAAACTCTGATTCTGCCTTCCAGGTGAATCTATGTCTTTGATTCCCCCTCAGTACAAATCCAACTTCTCGGAGCTCTTAACTTGGAGAACTTTCTAAACCATCTCATCTGATGAGCCAAAATCCTAAATATCCAGTTGTTTTGTCTTGATTCCTTTTCTTTTTTAACCACTGCACAGAGTTTATGCAAGACTTGCATTGTTTTTTAAACCTGGCGATTATCTTTGAATCTATGCACTTAGGTAAAGCACTTTAAAATTATAAGTGCTGCTGCTGCCCTGTCATCTTAAATATTTAAGGTACAATTCCAGACTAATGCAATAGATAATTAGGAAGCTTGTGTGCTCATTTAAATGTTTACTGGAAAAATTTTTATGTAGAGCAGTGCTCGTCTAAACCTGGAATGGAAAACCTGTTGGAAAAAGCATACAGTAGAGATGTGTGTATATACCTGTGTATAGATGTGTGGTGATGAGAGTGATGGGCTAATATCAGTACTCTACATGGTGACTGAAAGCAAATTTAAGCTGTAAAAACTCTTGGGAATCCTGGAAAGCTGAAAGACTATGGGACTTCAGAGACAGGTTAAATCCTTTATGGTCTTGAGAGTTTTTCCCCTCTATCCCTTAAAAAACCTCTTGTGGCTTTTTTGTGGAGTTCAGGGCTCTGGCATTTTGACAGTCTGTTTGGCAAGGCAGTAGGGTTGGAAAGACTACTTCAAGCAATGCTGGCAATCCAGACGTTGACTGTGATTGGAATATTCTATTAGTTCCATTAAATATACCGTGGGGGAGAATCCCATACAGCGCTATTCACTGTGCCTACTTCACCACGATGCATTTATACCTTCGAAATGTTGGAAATAGCTAACAAATTAAACTTGCTCTTAATTCTCCAGCAGTGTGGGTGGTATTTGTTTGTTGGTGCTGGTTTTTTAAGAGTGGGAGGAATGTTCAGTTATGCTCAGGGTTATACTGAGGATACCTTCTGAAATACTTCAAAGTATGGATGAAAGACTGATACAGTGGAGGTATAATACATTGTTGGTATAATTTTCAAGCACTTTTCCACTTGTTATGAAACTAGTGCAACGTATACTACATGTATATAATCTACATATGTACATCCCCCAGTGCAAAATCGACCAATAGTTTTGTTTAGCTCTGTTGCACACAGCAGATAATTTGTTTTTTCTTTGCTAATAGGTTCTGGTATAATGAAAGAAAAACGAAGACATCGATCGCACAAGTTCCTGCGTCTCAAGGTTGGAAAACCGATGAGAAAAACATTTGTTTCCCAAGCGAGTGCATCAATGCAGCAGTATGCACAGAGGGATAAAAAGCACGAGTACTGGTTTGCTGTTCCGCAAGAAAGGTAACGAGATGGACTGTAAAAATCAACATTTTTCAAGGTGTCTTTATCAGATGCTTTTTTCTTCACTGTTTTAAGTTAGTTTTCAGTGATCATGTAAAAAACCTGTGGGGCAAACCTCATTTTAATTAGTGGTTTTAG